GAAAAATGAACGTATAGTAATTTTTTAATTTACTCTGTTCAATTTTTCAAATTTTAATTTTTCGATTTTTCCTACATACTTCAATTTCTCGTTTTTAGACGTCCCGATTCTTTAATTTTTCAATTTTTCAGTGTTCCGATTTTCAAGTATTTTACTTTTCGATTTTTGGATATCTGTTTTCGAGTTTTCAATTTTCGCTATTCGAATTTTCAATTTTTCTATTTTTTGGTTTGTCGATTTTTGAATTGACATTTTTCAGTTTTAAATTTTTCTGTTTTTTTACCTTTCGATTTCTCAAATTTTCAATTCCAAGCTTCAGTATTTGGATTTTTTGATTTCTCGAGCTCTTGATTTTTCGATTTTTCAACTTTTCGATTTTTCAGGTCATTGATTTTTCAATTCTTTGACTTTCGATAACTCAGTTTTTCGATCTTTCAGTTTTGGGATTTTTCAGTTTTTTTCAATTCTTCGATTTTTCAATTTTTCGATTAATCGTTTGATCAATTTTTCGATATTTCAGTTTTGAGGTTTTTCAATTTTTGATATTTTATTGTTTTGATTTCTTAAATTTTAGATTTTTCGATTTTTGGTTTTGGAATTGAAAATTTGAGAAATCGAAAAGTAAAAAACTGAAAAATGGAAAAATCAAAACTCAACAAATCGAAAAATAGGAATATTGAAAATTCGAGTATCGAAAACCGAAAATTGTACAGAGTAAATTTAAAAAAATCCAGAAACTGAAAAATCGAGAAATCGAAAAATTAATAAAAACTGAAAAATCGAAAAACTGAAAAATCAAAAAACCAGAAATCGTAAAATCTAAAATTTAAGAAATGAAATATTAAAATATCAAATACTGAAAAATCGAAAAACTGAAAAATCCCAAAACTCAAATATTGAAAAATTGAGCGATCGATAAATGGAAAATTCAAAAATCAAGGCAAAATTGCGGAATCGAAAAACCGAGTTATCGAAAAATCGAAAAGTCGAGAAATCCAAGACCTGAGAAATCAAAACATTGAAAAATCGAAAGATTGAAAATTCGAGTATAAAAAATCGCAAAGTAAAATTATGTAGGCCAAAACGGAAAAATTACAATTTGAAAAATTGAAGAATGAATACAAAAAAATTGAAAAATAAAAAAATCGACATCTCAGTACATTGAGAAATCGAAAAATTGATGAAGCTGAAAAATCGAAAAACTGAAAAAACGAAGAGAAATGAAAAAAACAGAAACCGAACAATCTAAAATTTAAGAAATCCACCAATTAAAATCTGAAAAATCGAAAAACGGTAAATCGAAATATTCAAAAAACGAGGAAAAATGAAGAAATCGAAAAACAAAAAAAAATTCCAATTAAGAAAATCCAAGAAATAAGTCGAATAAATTGAAAATCGAGAAATAAAAACGGAAATTTAAAAACTGAAATCGAAAAATCGGAATATCTAATGTTTCAAAATCGAAAAAATAGATTTTTTTCTAAAAGTCAGAAAACGACGATTGAACAATATTTTTTACATTTTAGTTTAGGGATTTCTCAATTTTTCTCGGTTTTTCAGTGTTAAAAATTTTTCAGTTTCTCGATTTTTCGAATTTTCAATTTCTCAAATTTTAAAAACTTCAATTTTGGGAGTTTTTCCATTTCTAAATTTTCGATTACTCGATATTTTAACTTCGAATTTATCGGTTTGTTTGATGTTTCAATTTTACAATATTTCCATTTTTCGTTATTCGATTTTTTTATGAAAATTCAAGAAACAATTGTTGATTTTTCAATTTTCGATTTTTCAGCTTCATTAATTTTTCGTTTTCTTGATTTATCCAGATATCAATTTTTTATTTTTCAATTTTTAATTTATTTAAATTTACTCTGTTCAATTTTTCAAATTTTAATTTTTCAATTTTTCCTACATATTTCAATTTCTCGTTTTTAGACGTCCCGATTTTTTAATTTTTCAATTTTTCAGTTTTCCGTTTTTCAAGTATTTTACTTTTCGATTTTTGGACATCTGTTTTCGAGTTTTCAATTTTCGATATTCGAATTTTCAATTTTTCTATTTTTTGGTTTGTCGATTTTTGAATTTACATTCTTCAGTTTTAAATTTTTCAGTTTTTTACCTTTCGATTTCTCAAATTTTCAATTCCAAGCTTCAGTATTTCGATTTTTTGATTTCTTGGGCTTTTGATTTTTCGATTTTTCAATTTTTCGGTTTTTCAGGTCATTGATTTTTCAATTCTTTGACTTTCGATAACTCAGTTTTTCGATCTTTCAGTTTTGAGATTTTTCAATTTTTTTTCAATTCTTCGATTTTTCAATTTTTTGATTTTTCAATGTTTCGATTTCTCAGCTCTTGGATTTTCCAATTTTTCGACTTTTCGATTTTTCGATAACTCGGTTTTTCGATTCCGCAATTTTGCCTCGATTTTTGAATTTTCCATTTATCGATTGCTCAATTTTTCAATATTTGAGTTTTGTGATTTTTCAGTTTTTCGATTTTTCAGTATTTGATATTTTAATTTTTTATTTCTTAAATTTTAGATTTTACGATTTCTGGTTTTTTGATTTTTCAGTTTTTCCATTTTTCAGTTTTTATAAATTTTTTGATTTCTCGATTGAAAATTCGAGTATAAAAAATCGCAAAGTAAAATAATTGAAAAATCGAGAAATTGAATTATGTAGACCAAAACCGAAAAATTACAATTTGAAAAATTGAAGAGTGAATACAAAATAATCGAAAAATCAAAAAATCGACATCTCAGGACATCGAGAAATCGAAAAATTGATGAAACTCAAAAATCGAAAAACTGAAAAAACGAACAGAAATGAAAAAAACAGAAACCGAAAAATCTAAAATTTAAGAAATCCACCAATTAAAATATGAAAAATCGAAAAACTGAAAAAACCCAAAACTCAAAAATCGAAAAATTAGTCAAACGGTAAATCGAAAAATTGAAAAAACGAGCAAAAATGAAGAAATCGAAAAACAAAAAAATTCCAATTAAGAAAATCCAAGAAATAAATCTAATAAATTGAAAATCGGGAAATACCAACGGAAATTTAATAACTGAACTATTGAAAAATCAAAAAAATCGAAAAATCGGAATATCGAATGTTTCAAAATCGAAAAAATAGATTTTTTCTAAAAGTCAGAAAACGACGATTCAACGATATTTCTTACGTTTTAGTTTAGGGATTTCTCAATTTTTCTCGGTTTTTCAGTGTTAAAAATTGTTCTGTTTCTCGATTTTTCGAATTTTCAATTTCTCAACTTTTCAAAACTTCAATTTTAGGAGTTTTTCCATTTCTGAATTTTCGATTTAACGTTTAATCAATGTTCCGATATTTGAGTTTTATATTGTAATGTTTTGATTTCTTAAATTTTAGATTTTTCGACAGCTGGCTTTTTAATTTTTCAGTTTTTCGATTTTCCAGTTTTTCGTTTTTCAGTTTTGCATTTTTCAATTTTACATTTTTCAATTTTTCTGTTTCAAATTTTTCGATTTTTCAGCTTCATTAATTTTTCGTTTTCTTGATTTATCCAGATATCAATTTTTGATTTTTCAATTTTTCGATTTATTTAAATTTACTCTGTCCAATTTTTCAAATTTTAATTTTTCGATTTTTCCTACATATTTCAATTTCTCGTTTTTAGACGTCCCGATTTTTAATATTTCAATTTTTCAGTTTTCCGATTTTCAAGTATTTTACTTTTCGATTTTTGGATATCTGTTTTCGAGATTTCAGTTTTCGATATTCGAGTTTTCAATCTTTCTATTTTTCCATTTGTCGAGTTTTGATTTTTCAGTTTTACATTCTTCACTTTTAAATTTTTCAGTTTTTTACCTTTCGATTTCTCAAAGTTTCAATTCCAAGCTTCAGTATTTCGATTTTTTGATTTCTAGAGTTCTTGATTTTTCGATTTTTCAGGTCTTTGATTTCCCAATTTTTCGACTTCCGAATTCTCTCTCGCGATAACTTGGCTTTTCGATGTTTCAGTTTTGGGATTTTTCAGTTATTCTCAATATTTCTTCGATTTTTGAATTTTTCGAATTTTTTCATTTTGCGATTTTGGCCTGCATATTTCAATTTCTGGATTTTTAGATTTTCCGATTTTTTAATTTTTCCCTTTTTCAATTATTGTTTTTTCTTAATTATTTTACTTTTGGATTTTTGATATTTCCAGTTTTGGATTTTTCAGTTTTACATTCTTTGATTTTAAATTTTTCACTTTTTTTACTTTTCGATTTCTCAAATTTTCAATTCGGTTTCAGTATTTTGATTTTTCAGTTTGATTTACTTTCCGACTTTCCAGTTTTTCGTTTTTCAATTTTACATTTTCAGTTTTTCGGTTCTTAAATTTTTCGATTTTTCAGTTTTTCGAAAATTCGGTTTTTCGATGTTACAATTTTGGGAGTTTTCAGTTTCATCGATTTTTCAATTTTCGGATTTATGAAAATGACGATTTTTTTATATTTATACTCTGTTCAATTTTTCAAATTTTAGTTTTTTCTATTTTAACCTACATATTTCAATTTCTCGATTTTTTTGTTTTTTCGTTTTTTCAGTTTTACAATCTTCAGTTTTTTACCTTCCAATTTTTAGATTTTTCAGGTCTTTGCTTTATCAATTTTTCAAATTTTCGACTTCTCGATTTTTTAATTTTTCGATAACTCGGTTTTTCGATGTTTCAGTTTTTTCATCAAATTGTACTTCAAATAATGTGTAAAACTTTTAACATTACTTTACAACTTTGGCGCAATTTGTCTTTAAAATCTTCAATATTAAAAAAAAATCTCATACCTTGAAAATTTCAATACAATGTTTGTGGAGCTAGCTATCAAAAAAGTATTTTTTTTTAAGAAATTTCAAGACACTAGTACAACAGATGTCCATTATTGGGATCAGTGGTGTTTGTCAAAACCGAATAGAGATTGGAAAACTTAGAAGTTTAATTATTATAAATATTTAAGCCCTCAAAGTGCTCATAATATCACCATACTAATTGCAAGCAGTATATTAAAACTGTATTTTTATTACAATATGTTACAACACGACCGTCTCGTCTAAAAATAGGTATCTCTAACATTGTTGTAATATAAATCTAACTAATGTAATAAGGCACCTGTGACCATTCTCACACCGATATCACTGACAAGTACACCAATATAGGAACAAAAATATATTGCAACTCTCCAAACGCCTATCTAATCTATTGTCGACATTCTCGAATCTCCCTCTCCCCCAAAGGCAACGTCGGTCTAAAATTTTTCTTCACGAACCCCTCAAAGTCGTCACACGGACAACCGTCCTCCCTACAGTACGACTTCAAACTCCTGAACGCCCCCAACTGAAAAAATTTGGTACTAAATTGGTACACAAGACAATCAAAATTTTTGAAATACGCACCTGCTCTTCGGACACTTCGATAGGCTCTTTAAACACGACCCAAATCACACACTCGGAACAAGGGGGGGTTGTCAGGGACCCTTGGTACGTGTAGTAGCCGCTGTCTTCCGGGATGAACAGGCCCGGATTTAGCGGCTCCCCAATTTTGGCCGTTTCTCCTCGGTACTCGATTTTACAAAGCTGGTGGACGATTTTGTCCAGTTCCGGGTTGCATCTTCCGGGCTGTGGAATCCAGTCAGTGTTTAGTGTCACTAATAAAATAAAGTACTTACTTTTAGGAACACTCCGATCACACATAGTCCGTCGGGGTACTTGGCAGCTTCGGCGAACGAGCAGTACTTCGTGGTGTTCCAGTGGACCAAATGCAACTAAAGTTGTCGCTTTATTAACTTAGTTGTGTCTAAATTGAGTTGGTTACCTCTCCGGCGTACTTCTCCCCATTGACCGTATGTTCCGACCCTTGATCGTTATCCTGCCCCCAGTGACAATGGAACTGTTCCAGGACGTACTTGTTGTCCTCCAAAGGACCCCCCGTCAGCTCTACAAAACCCACTATTCTTAACCCATTCCCGACTTCATCCAGGACTCACCGGATCCGTCCCCCCGGACGTGCACCTTCCAGCAGTACCCCGGATTCGTGACGTCCTCGGTGTTCTCCGCGATGTACCTCCACGTCAGCTTCTGGTTGGTGTTGAGGCTTTTCAGGCACACCTGTTGAATGTCCACCGGACTCTGCCGGTCTCCGGCGGCTTCCGGGTAGCACTTAGCCCACGTTTCAGGCCCTGAAAGCACGCAATCCGGTCGTCTTTGTCAACAACAATGCATATTTTACGGAAATTTGGCTGTTTGTTCGTGAAAAATTTACGAGCCTGTTCGACGAATGCCGTGTTCGCGGACCATTATGTCGTGAATTATTCCGTCGCGGTTAGTTGGAGGCGGTTTTGTTCGGTAATTGGCGTTTAAGGGTATTTGGCAAGCGGATTTCATGGGTTCGAAAGCGGGTTTTTTGGAAGGTGTTGGGAAATTGCGATGGCTGCTTAAGTGGTCGGGTTTGAACATAAATTCGGGATTTGAGGAAGATTAAAACTTGAATTTGGTTTGTTTTGTTGTTTGTGGGGTCAAGGACACCATACAGGGGCCAGTTTTTTAAAAATTAGTAATTTATGTTTAACCTTGACGACTATAAAAATTTAGCGCGAATTTTATTACAACGGAAACTGAAGTAAAGAAATTGGGGTCAGACTTGTTACGCAATTTTATACACGCATTTTCATACCTGATTTCATCAGAATTTTATTACGTCTGCGTGTATATTTCATTTTACGAGACGGCAGATTCGACATCCGTAATGTAAACATTTAAATGATGCTCCCAAGTTTATAATTTTAATTAAATTTAATTTAAATTCTCACTTTTATTTGTCTTTTATTGCAAAAAATTAACAATATTTCTGTCTAACGAATTTTTTTAGTGGCAGCGAACTCCCATAAAATCGGGCTTTTAGAGCACTTGATTATAAAAACAAATCAAATCACACAACTATTAAATTTTTAATGGCGAAACTTTTTCCGCTGTAAAATTTTGTAAATATTTATCCCATTAAAATAAGTGATGTGACGGTGGAGGGTTTTATTAACAGATTCCATTTTTCAAGTTTTCAGTTCTTCGATTTTTCTATTTGAGTTTTTCGTTTGTCAATTTTCAATTTTTCGGTTTAGATTTTTGGATTTTATCAATCTTTCGAGTTTTTACATTTTAGAGTTGATTTTTCGATTTTAAAAATATTTCGTCTTTTCGATTTTTAAATTTCTGAATTTTTCAACATTTCAGTTTCTGGATTTTTCAATTTTTCGATATATATTTTATGTATTCAATTTTTTTAATTTTATATTTTCCGACTCTTCAGTTTTTTCCATTTTTCTACTTTTCGACAAGTGTTTTTTTATCGGTATTTTGATTTTTCAATTCTAGATTTTTGAATATTTAAATTTTTTGATTTTCCAATGTTCGGTATCTCGATTTTTCATTTTTTTTTTATTTTTGCACTTTTCAGGTTTTTATTTTTCGATTAATAGATTTTTTACCTTCTGGTTTCTCAAGTTCTCAAATGCACAGCTTTTAAGTTTCCCTAATTTCTCAATTTTTCGATCAAAATTTCGAATATTTCGAAAACCAGTTGTCCTATCGTATTCAGGTTATTTCCCCTGATGGACAAAAAATTGCAAAATTAGAAAATCGAAAAAATTAAAAGTCAATAGCCGTCAAATTTGAAATCACAAAACTTAAAAAAAAATGAGAAACTAGGTAACTGAAAAAGTAAGAACTTGAGAAACTGAAAACTTATGAAACCTAAAAAACTGAAAAATAAAAAAAATCCTAAAGTCAAAAGTTAAAAAGCCCAAAAATTGAATAATGAAAATATTCAATTTTTGATTTTCAGCTTTTCCTAATTTTGTTTCTGCGATCTTTCAGTCAATCCATTTTTCAAATTCCATTTATCAGTTTTTCAATTTTTTTCGATGTCTTAATTTTTGATTTTTAGATTTTTTAAGTTTTACACGTTTCAGTTTATTTTTCGATAAGTTGATTTTTTACTTTAGATCTTTCAGTTTTTCAATTTTTATTTTTTTTTATTTTTCGATTAAAAAATTTGTTTTTTTTTTCAAATTTGCAGTTTTTTAAGTTCTCCAAAATGTGTCATCATCTCCATCAAGAGTTTTTTTTATAAATAATAATTCAAAAATCAGGAAAAAAAAATCGAAAAACTGAAAAATTGATAACTAGCACGAATGAAACACTGAAAAATTCAAGAAAAGAAATTCGAGAAATAGAAAATCGAAAAATTGAAAAATATCAAAATCTTAAAAAAGAATTAATGAAAAATTAAAAACTGAAAAATTGAAAACAACGAAAAATCGAAAAATAGAAAAATCAGTAGCTGAAAAATTTTAAATCACAAAACTTAAAAAAAGTGAGAAACTGAGAAACTGAAAAAGTAAGAAGTTGAGAAATTGAAAAATTCGGAAAACTGGAATACTGAAAAACTAAATAATTAAAAAATCCGAAAATCAAAAATTAAAAAACAAAAATTGAAACAAAATTCAAAATTTAGATTTTCAGTTTTTCCTAATTTTGTATCTTCAATTTTCCTATCATTCCATTATTCAAATTTCATTTATCAGTTTTTAAATTTTTTTCGACGTCGTAATTTTTGATTTTTCGACTTTTTAAGTTTTGCACTTTTCAGTTTATTTTTCGATTAGTTGATTTTTTAATTTTGATCTTTCCATTTTTCAATTTTCGTTTTCAAGTAATTGAGGAAACACAAAATCGAAAAAGAAGGAATGAAAGATTAACAACTGAAAAATTGAAAATAACAAAAAATCAAAACGTCTAAAAGTTGGAAAATATAAAAATAATTCGAAAATCGAAGTCATTGAAAACACCGAAAAATTTAAGAATTGAAATCCGAAAAACTGAAAATTGAAAAATTGGGAAATCGAAAAATGGTTCAAAAATCGGCAAAAATCGAAAAAATTCAAAACTAAAAATCGAAAAATTACATCGAAAACCTAAAGAATTTGAGAAATTGAAAACATAAAAATTGAAAAACTTCAAAATTAAAAATTGAGAGGCGACAAATGGAAAAAATTAAAATATCTAAAAATTGAAAAATCAAAAAATATGAAATTGAGAAAATATAAATAAAAAAAAAAAAAATTGAAAAATCGAAAATCGAAAAATTGAAAAACTGAAAACTTACAAAAATTGAATTCATATTTGAAAAATCTAAAAACTACAAAAACATAAAATTGAAAGAACGAAAGATTGAAAATTGAAAAATTCAGAGAGGAAAATCACAAAATTGAAAACAACAAAAAATCAAAATAAAAAATCGGGAAATTGAAAAATTGCAACAATGAAACATCGAAAATTTAACAACTGAAATTCGAAAAACTAAAAATTGAAAAACCGAGAAATCAAAAAATAGTTCAAAAATCGGAGAAAAATCAAAAAATTGTAAAAATGAAAATTCGAAAAATTACATCGAAAGGCTTAAGAATTTGAGAATTAAAAAGATAAAAATTGCAAAATTAGACATTAAAAATTGAGAGACGAAAAATCGAAAAAATTAAAACATCTAAAATAAGAAATCGAGAAAATATAAACATAAAAAAATTGAAAAATTGAAGAATAGAAATTCCAAAAATTCAAATATTAAAATGTCGAAATACCGAGAAATTGAAGAATCAAAAATGAAAAACCTAAAGATTGTAACATTAAAACATCGAAAAATTGAAAAATCACAAAAATTTAATACGTATTTGAAAAATCTAAAAACTGCAAAATCGTAAAATTGAAAGAACGAAAGATTGATAATAGAAAAATTAAAAACTGAGAGACGAAAATCGCAAAATTGAAATGAATGAAAAATCAAAAAATCTAAAAACTGAAAAATCGAAAAATAATAATTCGAAAATCGGAAACATCGAAAAATCGGAAAATAGAAAAGTTGCAACAAGTCACTCTTATCTTAGCAAGGGTTAGCCCCGCCCACCCACCCTCACTTTCCTTGGAATATATGTTATTTGCCAAAATCACTTTTATCTTAGCAAGTACTAGCCCCGCCCACCCACCCTCTCTTTTCTTAGAGGGTATGTTATTTGCCAAAAAACAGTCTTATCTTATCAAATAATAGACGAAAAATCGAGAAAATTAAAATATTTAAAAATTGTAAAATCGAAAAATATAAAATAGAGAAAATATAAATCGAAAAATAAGAAATCAAGAAAATATGAATTGAAAAAAATTGGAGAATTTGAAAAATCGATAAACTACATCGAAACGCTTGAGAATTTGACAAATTGAAAATACTTATAAAAATTGAAAAACTTATAAAAGGCGAAAAAGGGAAAAAATTAAAATATCTATTGTAAAAATTGAAGAATCGAAAAATATGAAATCCACGATCTATAAATCGAAAAATAAGAAATCAAGAAAATATAAATTGAAAAAATTGAAAAATTGAAGAATCGAAAATCGAAAAATTGAAAAACTGAAAAATTAAATACTTGTTGAAAAATTGTCGAAAAAGCGAGAATTTGAAGAATCAAAAATGAAAAACCTAAAGATGGTAACATTGAAACATCGAAAAATTGCAAAATCGTAAAATTCAAAAAACGAAAGATTGATAAATTAAAAATTAAAAATTGAGACACGAAAATCGCAAAATTAAAACAACGAAAAATCAAAATATCTAAAAATTGAAACAACGAAAAATAATTCGAAAATCAAAAAGCGGATCAAAAAGTTGTAAAAAAATTACAACTATGAAACATCGAAAAGTTTAAGAACTGAAATTCGAAAAATTGAAAATCGAAAAACTGAAAAATAGTTCAAAAATCGGAGAAATATCAAAAAATGAAAAATTGAAAAATCGAAAAATTACATCGAGAAACTTAAGAATTTGAGAAATTAAAAATATAAAAATTGAAAAAATTAAAATATCTAGAAATTGTAAAATAGAGAAAATATAAAACGAAAAATAAGAATATATAAATATAATTTGAAAAAAAAAATTAAAAATTGAAGAATCGAAAATCGAAAAATTGAAAAATTAAATAGTCGAAAAATTTAAAAGTCGAAATACAGAGAAATTGAAAAATCAAAAATGAATAACCTAAAAATTGTAACATTGAAACATCGAAAAATTAAAAAATTACGAAAGTTGAATAGGTACATGTTTGAAAAATCTAAAAACTGCAAAATCGTAAAATTGAGAGAACCCAAATTCAAAATACTTATCTAAAAATTGAAAAATCGAAAAATAATTCGAAAATCGAAAACATCGAAAAATAGAAAAGTTGCCACACCACAATGAAATATCGAAAAGTTTAAAAACTGAAATTCGAAACCCCGATAAACTGAAAAACTGAAAAATTAAAAAGTCGTAACACCGAGAAATTGAAGAAAGACTGTAACATTGAAACATCGAAAAACTGGAAAATTAGAAAAGTCTACCACATTTGAAAAATCAAAATATTGTAAAATTGAAGAAACGGAAAATGGAAAAATCAAAAATTAAAATATGAGAAACGAAACATCGCAACGTTGAAAAATCAAAAAGATGAACATTTTAAATACGTATTTAAAAATTGAGAAATTGCAAATCGAAAAATTAAAAGACCATAAAAATTAAAATATTCAAATTTTCTAAAAACTGAAAAATTAAAAACTGATTGCTGTCAACCTTTTACAATAGTAAATGTTACTTAAATTTTAAAAAATTACGTACTCTTCCACTTCTAGTTTATGGTAACTGGTTAATCAAAATTTTTTATGACCCTTCTAAAAGCTGATCATCTTACAATTATCGGAATATGTGTTATTAAATTTTTTTTAAATGTATACGATGACTCAAAAAATTAATAAATTGCCCATCCCATTCTCCTGAAAATTTGAGGATACAGTACTGTCATTTAGGGTCCATTTATAAACTTATTACTCCTTTTAGTTTCACAGAAACAAAAATAATTTTCCGGTTATAAATACAATAATCAGCAATAAAAATTTATGTAAATATCAGCCCACATATGTAATTAGCGCTCAGGCACTGCTTACCGGTACGTACAAGTACCAACCAGAGTTTTATTTTTATTGTTATTATTTGTAATTATCGTCATTGGAGCGTTTCAGACTGGTATTCAGGCAAGCCTATTATCACAATATATTGGGTAATGTAGCGATAAGAGTGAAAATTTATGATTGTTTATAATATCTCCAATAAAAGAATCCCTTTATTGACGACAGATTGTTTTGTAGTCAAGAGCGGTATGTTAATGTTTTATGGTTGTTGCGTTGGTTCCAAAGCGGTGTCTTTGCGGTTTTACCGATAACAAATGGAAGTGGAATCATGTGGTTTGCGGGAAGTCCGTTAACGATTATCACAAAGAGTGGCTGGACTGACTACAGACAAAAATTGTAATCCATGTACATATTTCTTATGTAAATAACAACAGTGTTTCAAAACACGGAAATTAACAATTCAAATAAATCGGACTTGGCGTCAGACCCTCGAACTTTATGAACCCGACGAATAATGACTTCATTTACTCTTTCCGCTCGAGTACCACGCCAAAACATCGGCTTTAACAGCCCAGAACTGAGAATGACATGTCTAGACTACGTGTGAATCCCGTGAATACATGGTAATTATCGGGAATTAAACAAACAATAAAACCCCCCGCTAATTAGAAAAAGCGACACGAAAAATTAACTCCTCTTTAATAAATTACGTTGTTGACTTAAGCAATTTGGCCAATTCCACCTATTTATAATTAATTTATGACGACCAGATTGCTTAACAATGCATTTCCGTCATGAATATGCCAACGATTATTAAGCTATTGTTTCTCGCAGTCCAGACCCTAAAAAGACCCAGACTTCTGAGAATGCATCGCCGCTCAATCATGCTAATGTGTTTTTCCTGCCGGTAATTTGCCTAAAATATTGCTTTGTTTTGGTGGAGACGTAACGCTTACGTAAGACTTGGTTGAAAGGAAATCGTGCCGGAAAGTGGCCCGGTTACTCAATAAAATTTTGCAACAATTCTGCATCCGTGAGAAAAATGAAAAATTAATTTTAGTAAATACGTATAATTTTGAAAATTTGCGCTTGGGTGTCATTAGGTAGCCGGTGCGTGAAAGCCATACACAGTCATTATTCGGTGATTACTACGTGCACTTCCTCCGAGAACAATCCAGAAATACAACAAAAGGTTATCTCTAAAAATATTGCGCTTGTTGGGGGTCGGGATAAAATTAGTAAGTCTTAACATCGTACAATGTAGCGGACTGGACGTCTTGAAGCTAGGTTTTCTTACCGTTGAACTGTGAATAACCCCAATCGACTGCCATTCTGAAAAAAAAAAAACACATTAATAGTGATAGCAACTAAGATAAATGGAGTTGTTTGATCTTGACCTTTCCGGCACGATTTCACTTGTGCGAAATTTCACTAAGCGATTGTGGCTTAATTATTAGGTTTTGAGAAACATTAAGTCAAGGTTAGTTTCGGTATAGTAGGTTATTACTAATAGTGCAGTTTGATAATCATAAATGGGAGAGGTATTAGTAAGACGTAACACGGTTTTCGAACATTCATTAATTCTGACGGTAATTATAACAAAAATTGTCTAATTGTGGGTCGCGTGACCAAGGCAGTTGCATGAAATTAATTACATAGCTGTCATTAGTTATTAATGTAGGACTTGGAACTTGGGGACAACAATAAAAACAAAAGTGAGTGAATAAATGGAGATCCGATTTTAGATAAAGAGTTTCATTTATCGAAGTTCTGCCTTGTTTTTATAACGAGCAATCACCAACACCAAGGTCATATTTCGTTACACTGGTACCTGGAGTGCCCTAATCCCTCGCCTTACTACTACTACTTTGGGTAAATTTTAGCTATCTCTTTTGATTTTGTGACGTTGTTTTTATATTAAACGCAAAAGAAATCATTATTATTAATATTTTTATCATAAATTATGAACCAATTAATTTAGATAATTATGTTTTTGAGTTCACTTTTATCTTCAGCGGAATAATACGATAAGTGCTCGAACTGTTTTCAATAATAAAATTCAAGCACTACTACAAGTTTTAAAATTCTAAAGCGCGGAAGTTTAAAAAAAAACATTTAAATCTTAAATGACCCGGTTTTTAAACACAATACCAAAATTACTCAACCTTCGTATAATACATTAAAAATACATTAGTTATTATTTCTCAACATTAAGTAAAAAACTGGTGGAAAGTTATTCCGATGGGACTTCCCTCGCCTCTGAAGTACAGTCCAACAAATATTGCTTCTGTGAAAAATTTGAAAATTTGATTTTGAGTGATAAATTCAATGGAGTAAAAACAATATAGATGCTATTAGTCACAGTGTATTTGAAAATAAGAAGGTTTGAAGTTGAGAGCTCCGAATAGGTTTAATATTCGTAAAAAAAGACAGTTGGGACCCCCGAGAAGGTTTCACATTATTAAAAAAAAGATATTTGGGGTCCCCGAGAAGTTTGACATTTTTAAAAGAGACAGTTGAGACCCCCGGGAAGGTTTCACATTAAAAAAATATTTGGGTCCCCGAGAAGATTTTACATTTTTAAAAGAGTACAATTAGGACCCCCGAGAAGGTTTCACATTCTTAAAAAAATACATTTGGGTCCTTCGGGAAGGTTTTATGTTTTTAAAAAAGACAGTTGGGACTCCTGAGAAGTTTTTATATTTTTAAAAAAGACATTTGGCGCCCCGAGAAGGTTTTATATTAAAAAAAAAAACGGTTGGGACCCCCGAGAAGGTTTCATATTAAAAAAAAAAAAACTGTTGGGACCCCCGAGAAGGTTTCACATTCTACAAAAAGAGCCATTTGGCGTCCCCGAGAAGGTTTTACATTTAAAAAAACCGTTTGGGACCCCGAGAAGGTTTTATATTAAAACAAAAATCAGTTGGGACCCCCGAGAAGGTTTCACATTCTAAAAAAAAAACATTTGGCGCCCCCGAGAAGGTTTTACATAAAAAAAAAACCGGTTGGGACCCCCGAGAAGGTTTCACATTCTGCCAAAAAAAAACATTTGGCGCCCCCGAGAAGGTTTCATATTCTTAAAAAAAATACATTTGGGGCCTCCGGGAAGGTTTTACATTAAAACAAAAACCGGTTGGGACCCCCGAGAAGGTTTTATATTTTTAAAAAAGACATTTGGCGCTCCGAGGTTTTACATTAACAAAAAAGAGGTTGGGACTCCCGAGAAGGTTTCATATTTTTAAAAAAAGACAGTTGGGACCCCCGAGAAGGTTTCACATTCTACAAAAAAAAACATTTGGCGTTCCAGAGAAGGTTTCATATTCTTAAAAAAATACATTTGGGGCCTCCGAGAAGGTTTTACATTTAACAAAACCGTTTGGGACCCCGAGAAGGTTTTATATTAAAACAAAAAACTGTTGGGACCCCCGAGAAGGTCTCACATTCTAAAAAAAAAAACATTTGGCACCCCCGAGAAGGTTTCATATTCTTAAAAAATACATTTGGGGCCTCCGAGAAGGTTTTACATTTAACAAAACAGTTTGGGACCCCGAGAAGGTTTTATATTAAAACAAAAAACAGTTGGGACCCCCGAGAAGGTTTCACATTCTAAGAAAAAAAACATTTGGCACCCCCGAGAAGGTTTCATATTCTTAAAAAAATACATTTGGGGCCTCCGAGAAGGTTTTACATTTAACAAAACCGTTTGGGACCCCGAGAAGGTTTTATATTAAAACAAAAAACAGTTGGGACCCCCGAGAAGGTTTCACATTCTAAAAAGAAACCATTTGGCGCCCCCGAGAAGTTTTTACATTAAAAAAAAAACAGTTGGGACCCCCGAGAAGGTTTCATATTAAAAAAAAAATATTTAGCGTCTCCGAGAAAGTTTTATATTTTTAAAAAGACAGTTGGCGCCCCCGGGAAGGTTTCACATTAAAAACAATATTTGGGTCCCCGAGAAGATTTTACATTTTTAAAAGAGTACAATTAGGACCCCCGAGAAGGTTTTACATTCTTAAAAAAATACGTTTAGGGCCTTTGGGAAGTTTTTACATTTTTAAAAAGGACAGTTGGGACTCCCGAGCAGGTTTTATATTTTTGAAAAAGACATTTGGCGCCCCGAGAAGGTTTTACATTTAAAAAAAAAGAGGTTGGGACCCCCGAGAAGGTTTCACATTCTACAAAAAAAAACCATTTGGCGTCCCCGAGAGGGTTTTATATTTTTAAAAAAACATTTGGCGTTCCCGAGAAGGTTTCATATTCGTAAAAAACTACATTTGGGGCCTCCGGGAAAGTTTTACATTAAAAAAAATACATTTAGGGCTCCCGAGAAGGTTTCATATTCTAAAAAAAAAACATTTAAATGGTAAAAATGGTATATTTTTGCAAGGAAATATGGATTTTGCAAATATGGGGTGGAACCTAATTGTAAAATCGATATTTCCTTATACAAATTTTCAATTTTAAATATGTGTTAAGTTTCATATTGTGAAAAGAAGTCTACACATAGTAAATAAAACAAAAAGACAAAATTGTGATGATTTTTTTTTCCACAGTGAATCAAAAGGGCGAAGTTTAACTGCAAATTACTTATTTCTTTCCAATAAATTAGAAACATGTTATTGAGTATCGCGTTATTCAAAGAATACTATGTATATTAAGAAAAAAAAAGGCACAATGTTAACCCCGCCCACCCACCCCATCTCAATTATGGTGCTTTTTTATTCTTAGAAATTTAAAACATGTTTAAAATGGTAAATTTTTGTAAGAAAATATGGATTTTGCAATTAAGCTCCGCCCCTAGGTGTGCCAACGAATGAAAACTTCATTACTATTTGGATCAGGGCAGGTATGGGTGGGGCTTGATCTTTGGCTTTAATTTTTTCTTAATATATACAGTATTCTTTGAATAACATGATACTCAAAAACATGTCCCACATGGTAATTTCTTGTAGAGAACTAATAACGATTTTGTAATTAACTCCGCCCCTCGGCTTACGACGAATTAAAAAAAATCATCAAAATTGAGACAAGGTGGGTGGGCGGGACTTATATTTGGGTTTTTTTCTTACTATACATGGCCATCTTTTCACAACAAAAAACTTATAACATGATTGAAATGGTACATTTTTGCAAGAAAATATGGATTTTGTACTTATGGGGCGGTTCTCCAATGCAAAATTGACATTTCTTAATACAAATTTTCAATTTTAAACATTTTTTAAGTTTCACGTTGTCAAAAAAAGTCTACACATACATATAAAACCAAAAGACAAAATGTAAGCCCGCCCACCCGCCCTGTCTCAATTGTGATGATTTTTTTTATTCGGCATGAACCAGAGGGGCGGAGCTTAACTGCAAAATACTTATTTCTTTACAAGAAATTACAAACATGTTTTTGAGTGTCGCGTTGTTCAAAGAATACTATGTATATTAAAAAAAAAAGGCAAAATATAAACCCCGCCCACCCACCCCATCTCAATTGTAACGATTTTTTTTATTCCTAGAAATTTAAAACGTTTAAAATGGTAAATTTTTGTAAGAAAGTATGGATTTTGCACTTAGGCTCCGCCCCTAGGTGTGCCAACGAATGAAAACTTCATTACTATTTAGAACAGGGCAGGTATGGGTGGAGCTTGATCTTTGGGTTTAATTTTTTTTTAATATACATAGTATTCTTTGAATAACATGAAACTCAAAAGCATGTCTTCCTTGGTAATTTCTTTTAAAGAACTAATAACGATTTTGCAATTAAACTCCGCCCCTCGGCTTACCACGAATAAAGAAAAATTACACAGGCCTGCGATGGTTTTCCCCCAACAAAATCAAGTAGTAATTTCGGTAGGCCTTAGATACTCATGTATAAAAAAAAATTGCAAAAATTTCTATCACGTACAGTTTCTGCAAAAAATATTTTTTTCAATTTTGTTCTTAGTACCATAAAAATTAACTTCTAGATTTTGTGGTAATAATATGTATGGATAATGGTGTTGATATTTCATTTGCTGTTTAGCTTAGTAAGACTTATTTGTGTCGACTATGCGCTTACTACCCTGAATTTAAACAAAAATTACTAATGTCTTCTCGGAAATGGGTTAATTCTTCACATAACTTCTGTTACATTTGTAGAAGTTATTTAATCAAAAAACAACAACAAATAATTTCTGAATTTATCGAACAACTATGCGAAAGTTATTTTAAAGTTAATATAAAAAACCAAGACAAAAAATGGGTGCCTCATAAAATGTGTTCATGCACCTCGCAAATGGTCAAAAGGAAAAAAAAATCTTTAAGTTTGCTGACACCAATGATTTGGATGGAGCCACAAAATCATACAGACGATTGTTACTTTTGCTGTTCAAATATAAAAAGATATAATGCGAAAAATGTAACAGCAATAACATATCCTATCGTGAATACAAGAGAAAATGCTTAAATCAGAGCTTTGAAGAAAGAAAAAAAGAAGCTTCTTGATTTATTTGTTTTTTTAAGTCTTGTTTATAACTAATTTAGTTCATTTAATAAATAAATATTCAATTTTATATTTTTTATATTTTATTTTTTCATAAAAATTGTTTGAAAAACTATAAATATTTAGGTCTACATAAAAATAAATCTCGATGTGCTACAAAAAAACTAGAGTTATATTTTAATTCGGCATACATAAATACCTAAAAAAAAACAATATTATTTAAAAGGGAAATTAAAAGTTATATTTCGCAGGCCTGTGTTATCAGAATTGAGACAGGGTGGGTGGGTGGGGTTTATATTTTGTTCGTTTTTTCTTAATATACATGGCCATCTTTTCACAACACAAAACTTAGAACATGGTTAAAATGGTACATTTTTGCACGGAAATATGGATTTTGCAATTATGGCACGGTTGTCCACTGTAAAATTGACATTTCTTAATACAAATTTTCCATTTTAAATATATTTTAAGTTTCATTTGTCAAAAAAAGTCTACACATACATATAAAACCAAAAGACAAAATGTAAGCCCGCCCACCTGCCCAGTCTCAATTGTGATGATTTTTTTTTTATTCGGCATGAACTAAGAGGGCGGAGCTTAACTACAAAATACCTATTTCTTACAAGAAATTTAAAACATGTGTTTGAGTATCGTGCTGTTCAAAGAACACTAAGTATATTAAGAAAAAGAAGCAAAATATTAACCCCGCCCACCCACCCCATTTCAATTCTGATGATTTTTTTTCTGAAAAATTTAAAACAGGTTTAAAATGGTAAATTTTTGTGAGAAAATATGGATTTTGCAATTAGGCTCCGCCCCTAGGTGTGCCAACGAATTAAAACTTCATTACTATTTAGATCAGGGCAGGAATGGGTTGGGCTTGATCTATAGCTTTAATTTTCTCTTAATATACCGACATAGTATTTTTTGAGTAACATGATACTCAAAAACATGTCTTATTTGGTAATTTCTTGCAGAGAACTAATAACGATTTTGGAATTAAACTCCGCCCCTCGGCTTACGACGAATAAAAAAACTCATCAGAATTGAGACAGGGTGGGTGGGCGGGGCTTATATTTTGTTTTTTCCTTAATATACATGGCCATCTTTTCACAACACAAAACTTAGAACATGGTTAAAATGGTACATTTTTGTAAGGAAATATGGATTTTGCAATTATGGGGCTAAATTTATATTTTCTTATACAAATTTTCCACTTTAAACATGTTTTAAATTTCCTGTTGTCAAAAAAAGTCTACACATACATATAAAACAAAAAGACAAAATGTAAGCCCGCCCACCCGCCCCGTCTCAATTGTAATGATTTTTTTTATTTGGCATGAACCAAAGGGGCGGGGCTTAACTGCAAAATACGTATTTCTTTACAAGAAATTAAAAACATGTTTTTGAGTACCGTGGTGTTCAAAGAATACTATGTACCTTAATCAAAAAAGTAAAATATAAACCCCGCCCACCCACCCGATCCCAATTGTGATGGTTTTTTACATGGCCATGTTTTCACAACAAAAAACTTAGAACATGGTTAAAATGGTACATTTTTGCAAGGAAATATGGATTTTGTAATTATGGGGCGGTTCTCCAATGCAAAATTGACATTTTTTAATACAAATTTTCCATTTTAAATATTTTTTAAGATTCATGTTGTCAAAAAAAGTCTACACATACATATAAAACCAAAAAACAAAATGTAAGCCCGCCCACCCGCCCTGTCTCAATTGTGATGATTTTTTTATGCAGCGTGAACCAAGGGGGCGGAGCTTAACTGCCAAATACTTATTTCTCTACAAGAAATTAAAAATTAGGTTTTTAGTTTCGCGTTGTTCAAAGAATACTATGTATATTAAGAAAAAAAGGCAAAATATAAACCCCGCCCACCCACCCGATCTCAATTGTGATAATTTTTTTTTATTTTTAGAAACTTAAAACACGTTTAAAATGGTAAATTTTTGTAAGAAAATGTGGATTTGGCAGTTAGGCTCCGCCCCTAGGTCTGTCAATGAATGAAAAATTCATTACAATTGAGACAGGGTGGGTGGGCGGGGCATATATTTTGCCGTTTTTCTTAATATACATAGTCCTCTTGTCAGAACGAGACACTTAAAACATGTTTAAAATGGTAATTCTTGTAGACAAATATGGATCTTGCAATTAAGCCCCGGCCCTCGATCTGACAACGAATGAAAAATTCATCGCAATTGAGAACGGAGATGGGGGCGGGTATGGGTGGAGCCTAATCTTTGGCTTTAATTTTTTCTTAATATACAAAGTATTCTTTGAACAACGCGATACTCAAAAACATGTTTTTGATTTCTCGTAGAGAAATAAGGATTTTGCAGTTAGTTTGGCCCCCTTGGCTTACGACGAATAGAAAAATCATCACAATAGAGATAGGGTGGGTGGGCGGGGCTACATTTTGCCTTGTTTTTTTTGGGCTATTTTTATTTTTAACCTGTTTTTCATCTACTTTAAGGTATTTATGATTTTAAGCAGACAGGCCAATTTTGACTTTAAAGTTTTTTATTGCTTTTTCATAAAATAAAAAAAGTTAATTTTTGTCGTGAATTTTTTTTTAATGCATTGTTTTAACATTTCACCCTATTTTTACGGTTATTTTTTAAAAAGTTGTGGATTTGTAAAGATTTTGACCATGATTGCAGCGGATCCATGGAGATGGTTACAAAAAAATAAAAAAATTCTTTTCAACGTCAAAATTGGCCTGTTTTCATAAAAAAAAAAAGATAAAGCACGATTTTACTTACCTACTAGTCATTTGCCCCTTTTTTGGTATTCTTTGAAATTGCAAAAACCGAATGCTGCGAAATCACGAAAATATTTTAAAATAGTTTTATGTCCTTTTCTCTAAGCTGCGGACACAAAATCAACCAAATTTCATTTTCTTTTAACCGCTGATGCTTGTAATCTAAACGTCTAAAAGTCGAATTCGCTCTAAAAATAAACAGAGGTTATCATAAAACGAAAATCCCGAAATCTAATTTTATGAAGTAATTTTTTCAAGTCAAAATAACCTTCCAAAACCGAAAATAATAAAGGAAGCAAAAAAATTCGCTTAACGTGACAACTAAAAACTGAAACGCCATTTAAAAATAATAACCCAGCCGAAAAACCCAGCATGTGTTTTAAAACAATTAAATGCACACAAAACAAGTTATGTCACGGAATAAATTAAACCTAATTACGGAATGCAAATTCCCACATCTACAAAACGCGCGTTTTAATTAATCGCAATTATTAAAGCTAGTAAATTATTTGCACTCGCGTGGGCTAATCACAACAACACACTCAACTTCGACCTTCTTTTCCAAAAAATCAGATAACACTCACCTCGCAAAATTAGAAAAAAAAATGCAAAATCAAGCCAGCACAACAGGTGGGTTTCGTCTACTCCGAATGGAACCGGTTCGAAACTATTCAGTAGTAAATCCCAATAAAGCATGGTATGGGCAAGTCCCCACCCATAAAACTACCTAGAAAAGCCCGCCGGGGGAACACGTTTCGGATTCTCCATCATCTCACCGTAATAATAACTGCGACGTCACGTGTTCGCTCCAGTTTTCAGAGAATATTTGAATTTGAAAAAATTAAATGATATAATGTTCGAAATTCAAACTTATTACATTACAAGGTTTTCAAGAACACATGTTACATAACTAATAGATGTTTTTTAATTTTGATCTACAGACTTGAAGAAAAGTCGGTAGCGACGAAATAATTATGCAATAATAGGTAAACGTTAATCCAAAATCAACATGAAACGTAATTCTCGCATTCAGAAGAACCTTGGATATTGTAAATATTAAATTGTCTCAGTTAAGAAAAAATACATTTACTAATTGTGTGTGTCGGGAAGAAAAATTCAAAGATTTTTGACCTTATTCTTGTATTTTTAATTGTCATGACAGGCTATGTTTAGTTTAATCCACAGGAAAACGCAACACTTATATTTAGAAAAATTTTAAGTTCTGTAAATATTGAAAAGATATTGTATTTAATTCTAATTTATACATGATCTTGTGCAAAGCTATGGAAAAGTAGACGATTTTCTATTCCGTTCTGAAACGTATCGTAGCCAAAAAAAAAAAATAATATGACACTAGAAATATAAAATATCATTTTGTTTTCAATTTTGTTTTAAATTTAGTATCCAACAGACATAAGAAATTCTTTATGCCAAGAAAATATTGTAATTAATTAGTATATTTAATTGAAAAATTTATAGAACAAAAATAAGGTCAAACATTTTCAATAAATTTCAAACTGATTAAAATTTAATTACAGAATCCCAATTCTCCATCTGTCAAACTCGGATTTTAATTACCCACAATTAAACTCTGTCAAGCCATTCACACCCAAAACTAACCTTTGACTTTTCCAAAAAAAAAAAAAATCAAGCCGACTCACCTTTCCAAAATCGAAAAAAAAAAATCACCAAATCAAACCAACACAACAGGTGTGTATCGTCAACTCCGAATGGAACCGGCTCGGAACTACTCAGCAGTAAATCCCAATAAAGCGTGCCACACAATATCGGCCGGTCCCCCACCCGCAGAAGGCAAAACTACCAAGAAAAGCCCACCGGTCTAGCACTCCTCAATTTATCCATCATTTTACCATAACTGCGACACCACGTGTCCGCTCCACTGAACCCATCAAACCCACACAACCTGATCGATTGTCTTGCATGAGGGACTTCGAATGGTGCTTCCTCGTGTGTGATCCCATCCTTGACCTATTTTCGCAATTCCCAATTCCTGGATGCGTGCAGCTATATCGGTCCTCAAAACAATTATTTTATATAAATTTATTTCGGGACCGGCGGCGGCGGCGGATCGATGGGTCGGTCGCCTTACGGCTAATTGTTTTGATATGGTTTAATTGGCGATCGATTTCTGGGTTTCGGGGGGCGTTGTGTGGTAAATGTTGGCACTTCCTTTGACACTGTGGTAATGTTTGTGTTGTTCTAATTTTGGGTCCTGGAAAGGTCGGGGGTTAAGTATCAGCGAACCTTGTCAAGGTTTATTTTTTTGTTGTTCGTATTGTTTTTTTTATTTATCTCACCTCCGTGTTTTAATCCGTCATCATTCATTATTTATAAGCCTTCACGGAGGTAATTACTTTTTGAATTTCCTTTTGTGTGGATATGTTAAGTGGATATCTGAATAGGCCATCAATTTCAGGCACTGACATGTTAAAACACATCCTAGATTATCATAGCCATTTCGCGGAGAAATATGAAATCTGTTTAAGTCTCACGTGGAATAAACAGCACAGATACGTCTTATCTACGTCTATCTTGATTTTTCCAAAATGGATTGACATAACACTAAAAACTGAAATCAAAAACACATGAAAAAATGTTATCGGGACATAAAATGGTAATTACTGTTCGCACTTATACTCACATCAAGATCGCCACTGACGTAAAGCTTTAAAATAGTTTTTGCAAAAATAGCTACAATGATTTGTATTTTAAAAGCAAGTGAAGAAAAAATAAACAAAATAGAACAAAAGTGAAGTGTGTTCAAAATTGAGGAAATATAGATTAGACGATATTTTTCTACTCGAAAAAATGTAGATGTTTTTGAAAAAAAGTGTATTCTAAATTAGTATCTCAAAATCGCTTCATGAATTTTATCTTCACCTGTCTCTATAATTTACAGCACTGATTAATTAGTTTTGTATGATTTGAAGCAGTAAATCAGGCAAAAAAATCTTGGTGACGTGAGTGAATGTCAAAAATGCATTAAAATGACAAAACGAAGGAATTAATTCCATTTGAGTAAACGCCGCGGCTTCCAGAATTAATGATTCAGTGTTAATTAACAGATTAATCTCAGTGACATGTGCTCCAACAAAAAAGATAAGACTGTCAATTAACACGAATATCGATGACATCAGGTATTTAAGTGTCGACAAAATATGGTTCATTTTTCGAAAACGATTGTCTGTTTTTTTTCTGCTTTTTATATATAATTCTTATCAACGAAAAAATCGAAGGAGCAGTTTATAGAATGTTTCAACTGAGATTTTATAATTTTTCGTTTTTATAGTTTTGGAAATTTCGTTCTACCCTATAAAATTGTATTGACAATAACGAGACGGACAGTAGTACAATGGTAAGAAAAATTTATGGCTCACACCAATTCAGCCGAATTTGTAGGACAACATTTAGCAGGTAGTTGTAATGATAAAATAATGGTCATTTTCGAACTTGGTTTATTCTGCTTTCTAACATCTGGGGATTTCCGGCACGCGACAATTTTAAGTTGTAAATATCTCTTACTATTGTACTACTGTGCGTTCGATATTGGAAATAAAATTTTATAGGGTAAAAGGAAATTTCCAAAACTATACAATTCTTCAATTTTTAACTTTTTGAATTTTTTTAGATTTTTTAATTTTTCGTTTCCTCAATTTTTCAAATTCTTGATTTGTATTTTTCATTTTTCGATTTTTTAATTTTCATTTTCTCGATATTTTAATTTTCATTTTTCCAATTTTTTAATTTTCATTTTGTCGATTTTATATTACAATTTTTCGTTTTTAATTTCCTTTATTTCATTAAAAGTCTGTTTCGTTTTTATCATTTTTCGTTTTTTAATTCTACGATTTTTCAATTTTTAAATTTTTGAATTTTGCAATTTTTGCATTTCTTAATTATCCGATTTTCCGATTTTCTGAATTTTCGATTTTCCAATTTTTCGTTTCCTCAATTTTTTAAATTCTTGATTTTAATTTTACATTTTCTCGATTTTTTAATTTTCACTTTCTCGATTTTTAAATTTTAATTTTCTCGATTTTTTAATATCAAAATTTTTCGTTTTTAATTTCCTATATTTTGTGTTTAGATTTTATAATTTTTCATCTTTGTTTTGTTCTTCGATTTTCCTATTTTTAAATTTTTCAATTTTGGAATTTTTGGATTTCTTAATTATCCGATTTTCCGATTTCTGAATTTTCGGATTTTCAATTTTTCGTTTCCTCAATTTTTCATATGCTTGGCTTTTATTTTTTATTTTCTCGATTTTTTAATTTTCATTTTACCAATATTTTAATTTTCATTTTCCCGATTTTTAATTTGCATTTTCTCTATTTTATATCACAATTTTTCGTTTTTAATTTCCTTGATTTTTTAAATGTCTGTTTCGATTTTATCATTTTCCTTTTTTTTATTTCATCGATTTTCCAATTTTTCAATTTTGTAACTTTTGGATTTCTCAATTATCCGATTTTCGGATTTCTGAATTTTCGATTTTTCAATTTTTTGTTACCTGAATTTTCAAATTCTAGATTTTTACTTTTGATTTTCTCAATTTTTTGATTTCCATTTTTAGATTTTTTAATTTTCATTTTCACAATATTTTAATTTTCATTTTCCCGATTTTTTAATTTTCATCTTGTCGATTTTGTATCCCAATTTTTGTTTTTAATTTCCTTTATTTGATTAAATGTCTGTTTCGATTTTATCATTTTTCGTTTTTTCAGTTCTACGATTTTTCAATTTTGTAATTTTTGGATTTCTTAATTATCCGATTTTCCGATTTCTAAATTTTCGATTTTTCAATTTTTCGTTTCTTCAATTTTTTAAATATTTGACTTTAATTTTTCATTTTCTCGATTTTTTGATTTTCATTTTCTCGATTTTTAAATTTTCATTCTGTCGATTTTTTAGTATCAAAATTTTTCGTTTCTAATTCCCCGTATTTTGTGTTTAGATTTTATAATTTTTCATCTTTCTTTAGTTCTTCGATTTTCCTATTTTAAAAATATTTCAATTTTGCAACTAGTGGATTCCGATTTTCCGATTTTTCAGTTTTTCGTTTCCTCAATTTTTCAAATTTTTGATTTTAATTTTTCATTTTCTCGATTTTTTAATATCAAAATTTTTGTTTTTAATTGCCTATATTTTTTAACTGTGTGTTTAAATTTTATAACTTTTCGTTTTAAGTTCGTGGATTTTCCAATTTTGAAATCTTTGAATTTTGCAATTTTTGGACTTCTCAATTATCCGATTTTCCAATTTCTAAATTTTAGATTTTTCATTTTCTAAATTTTAGATTTTTCAATTTTTCGTTTTATCAATTTTTAAAATTTTTGATTTGTATTTTTCATTTTCTCAATTTTTTAATTCTCATTTTCTCGATTTTTTAATTTTCATTTCGTCGTTTTTTCAATTCCTCGATTTCCCAATTTTTTATTTTCCAAATTTTGGACTTCTTAGTTTTTCGATTTTTCGATTTCTGAATTTTCGATTTTTCAGTTTTTCGTTTCCTCAATTATTCAAATTCTTGATTTTTATTTTTAATTGTCTCGATTTTATATTTTTCGTTTTTTTTCAATTCTTCCATGTTCCAATTTTTAAATTTTTCAATTTTGCAATTTTTGGATTTATAATTATCCGATTTTCCGATTTCTGAATTTTCGATTTTTCAATTTTTCGATTCCTTAATT